AACCATCATTACACACACATGAGAGAGGAGAGGCGTTCCTATGGAGATGGTTAATACAGCAACTATGATCATGATTAATTACTGCAACTCTCTCCCAGGACTCCTGTCAGCTGGGAAAAAGGGCCAGGTACAGACTGACAACAGTTGGCGGCACTGGTGGCAATATTGAGTTAATGAAGTCATTGAAGGTTTAGCCAGACAAATGTTCACAATCACTGGAATAAGTAAAATCAAAGTGTGTTCTTCTACAGATAAAAACATATAAATCTACTCTTAGCTTCAACACACTGCCATTCCTTTGGTCTTTAATCACAGAAGGTACAGTGTAGACAAAGTTTCACTGAGGAGGCAAACAAACAATTGAGCTCGGTCTTTCATGGGTCACTGACATTGTAAAGTGAACAAAACAATAACACAAAACCAATTAAATTTAGTGTAGGCAATTACAACAGTCCGTCAAGGAATGTCACATTTACTAAGCTTGGCTTGAGATAATGTCAGAGACATTTCTTGTTGAAAAAAAAAACTTGTAAAAATCCATGTTCCACTGTGCAGTTTTTTCACGAGTTGAGGATGGTTGTTGTTAGATTGGATCAGCAGGAGGAACATGTTGCTGTGATTGGTTGTTTCATTGTTAGGTAACTGCTGCCGCTCCAGCTGTATCTGACTGACAGCGATTTAAAAAAAGATTTTCTCCAACAAATTGCAAAGACATGTGAGTTTAGAGCATTTCTTTTGTCAATGAGTCTAGAACATGTGAAGGACGGTCATCAGCTAAGAGCTATGAAACTAAAACTGGTAAATTACTGTGGTAATGATGACCATAATTATAGCCAATAACCCTACAGTGCAAGTAGAAAAAGGTAATTTAAAAGATTTTTAAAATTTCATTTTACTTTTTGTATTTTTTGTATTTTTTTTTAAATACAGGCAAATATTAATAAATTACAAAAATAAATGTCTAATGTAAAATAACATCAAAAAGTTATGTGTAAATAATCATAAAAACTTTTTTTTGTTTTTAACATAAACAGACGGTTAAAATACTTTTGCAAAGTTAACTATAAATTGACAAATATTTGTATTTTGTTTAACAGATAAAACTGGTAAATTCAAGTTTACTACAATCCATATATTTTGAAATATGTTGCTTATAATTTATAAAAATATATATATATATAGTTTATTTTTATTTTTTTCTCCTGGCCTTTTTGCCTTTATTAGCCAGGATAGTGAGAGAGTGAGGGGGGAGAAGAGTGGGGAGAGACCTGCAGCAAAGGGTCATGAGCCAGACTCGAACTCACGACCGCTGCACTGGGAACTATAGCCCCTGTTCATGGGTCGCCTGCTCAACTCGGTGAGCTATAGGGGCGCCGTTATAATTTATAACTATATTTGAATTATACATGTAATATATAATATGGATATACTTTTTAAAAAAAAAAACAACAACATCCATGCTCTGTTATATTTACAAGATTTTTACTTAAAGAAATTTGTAAAAAAAAAAAAAAAAAAAAAGTACCTTACATTTGATCAAAAATCAACAGTATCTTCTTGGAACTTGAAACTGAATTACTATTTTTTTTACAGTTTGTTTTTTCAAAATAAAATTTCTGAATAAACTTTTCTGCAGTATTACACCCGACTATTTGTACCATAGCATTATGTTACCATGTTTATTACTAATAAGGCTTTATTGGTAATTGGTAATAGCTAAATTTCAAAGAATGTAAATCATATCATCCAGGACCATCTGGACGGGTCAGAGCCCGTAATTGAATTATAATTAGTCAGCGACCCAACCTGCCGCCTGACCCACAGCTGCCAAGACACTAATTTAGTCTGTTTTGCCAAATTGCTGTTGTCTCTGGAGTGTCAGCTGTGGCCTAACAACATAACAACTAATCACAGCAGACTAGAAAAACAGGTACTTAGAGTAGAGCTTACGTCCGGCTGATTACCAGCTCTTTAAGATGGAGTTGCCTGGTTATCATGGAGATGCATCTTTTAGGAAGTCTTGCCCATTTGGTCCCAAAAGCCAAACTAATAAGTGGACTTTGACTAATTACCATTTCCAATGTCAAGAAACACTTTTTGTGCTTCATAGTTTGTGTTGTTGTGGCAAAGGGCATCACATTGTCAGATGTTTCTGGTCGTCATGGTAACAACACTTGACTATCACACAGTGTTATCAGGTGTTTCTCTTATTTTTGCCAGAACTTGGACAAAACGCAACAGTTCAATCCGTACATATTAACTGTCTTAAAATAAAGGAACTGTAATATTTAATAAACAATAAATTCACCAAATGTTGTAAATATTACAGGGTTATTGTATTTTAATTTTGCTACATTAATGTTATTGTGTCCAACAGATGTGTGTCCAGGCGTGTTATTAATTATGTGGATTTTAGAAATTTGTTTGAATAAAACTAATAAAGACAAACATATACAATATTCATTAGAAATAACACTGCACTGCATTCTTTACCCAATGTGGTACACTCTGTTAAATATCCTAAAATTAAACAATATAAATGTATTGTCCTTCACAATTTAAAAAAATAAAAAATAAATATAAAATAGTAGTCTGCCATCTTAGTAACATTGAAAATGAGTTTCATTTTGTTTTCTATTATGTTTCCAACTGAGAATTAGAGAGCATTTTGCTTGGTATGACAAAAACATATTTGTATTCAGGAAATCTGCATGAGTCACAAAAACAGAGCTGGACTGGCAGTTATTTGGAATAAGTGTGGATCTTTGCAAAAAAAAAAAAAAAAAAAAACTTTCAAAAGCTATGCAATTTTTTTGAAACATCAATATGGTAATTGTAAGTACACAGAAGCACCTATAACATTATAATTAATTGTGATGTGTCTCTCTTTACCCTTAGAATCAGCTAATATTAGTGGGAACAAGCAAAAAAATAATTTTAAAGAAAAAAACCTACACTTAATCCAAGCTACATAACAGCAACAGAGTATCCCTCCGATTTTTCCATTGTAAATCCCTTCCAAACAGGCGGGCATGTGAACTCGGCTGTGCTGTCCCGATCCCACACATGACGCCTGCTGGCACTGACAATAGGCCTGACCTGAGTGACCCGACATGTTGGCTCGCGTCTTTAAGAACTCTATAAGAAAAGGCTGTGATTTCGGGGTTGAGGACGCTTTGCTCCAGCTGGGGGAGTTATTGAGCTGATGTAATCATCTGACCTTTTTGGGATTATCCAGTCGAAGATCATCCTTCATCCGGCCACTCAGCAGCCAGTTCACAACATCTGTCCTTGGTGTAACACGAGTCTGGAAGCATCACACACTAGGGTTGTACACAGCCCACATTACATGACACCAAATCCCATCAAAATCTGTACATGTGTGTGTGTGTGTTTGTGTGTGTGTGTGTGTGTGTGTGTGTGTGTGTGTGTGTGTGTGTGTGTGTGTGTGTGTGTGCTCATCTGCATAAAAGTGTGTAGCAGTGCCTGTGTTTGTCATCGATGTGACAGCACTATCGAACGGAAGCTTTTAAACTGCAGTTGTCAGAAATTTTCCCAAGACAATCCATTACTACCTTTCATTAATGCAGGCCTGTCAGCTAATTCACGTCAGCCAAAGTGATCCACATACAATACAACATAAACCAGTAATGCCCTTTTGTATTGCGTGTGATTGTCCTTCTATTGGTTATGCAACCCGGTGCTTTTTCGTTCTCCTGGTTCCCAGCTTGCTGACATAATAAGCAGAGCGAAATCACCCTCCAACCTTGTCATCAGGCCAAACAGCAGATCAATTGTTCCTCTAACAGTAGATTACCACTGATTCATCTCTTTTTTAAACCTTTGTCCCTTCCAATGCCTGTCCGGTTTTCCACCCCTGGTTGGCCTGAAGGTCCCTAAGGCGAATCACTAGCAAGGACCTGATCAATAGGCTTTCATTACACAAAACTGTCTGGTCTGCTCCGTGCATTAGGGCAAGGCCAAAGTTTGCAGTGAGGGATTTCTGGTCCAGGTTTTTAGCCACGCTAGACGTGTGGCTCAGTGGATGGTAAAGTTGCCTGTGGTTGGTCCAGAGTGAATTATTTGTTGTACAGACATTCATGGTCCACAGAGGACAAACCCCTCTGCGTTTATTGATTAGCTGACTCTACTTTTAGTGCCAGTGAAAAATCCAAACCAAAATTTAGATAAACCCTTTACTTTTACTACAATCAATTCAAAAAATTATTTTGTCCGGTATTTTGATTTGTGACCTCCAAAACAAATGACATTCCCTTCAGCCACAGTTGACCTGTACTTTTTGTAAAATAATCAATGCTAGTTTAATCTAAGGTGACCCTGGTAAACACTGCCCACAATTGCAAACATTAGCATGTTAACACTGCCATAGTTAGCAAGTTAGCATTTAGATTAAAGGTCGCAGTCCATGTCTTTTCTTAACACTTTGAATGACAAAGTCATAAGGTCAAGGAAACCCATGAAAAATATTTAATGAAGACTTTAAGAGAAGCTGATTGCACTTAAACTCATCTACATAACTATAGGAAGGCTGATGTGGGTCTGCCGTGGAAGTTGCATCACTGTGAATGTTGCTCCTGCAAGGAATATTGGAACAGCACTGTTTCCTTTTATTTTGTAAGTGATGCTCAGTGTATCCTATACTAAGGGAAATACAAAGCAAGCACATTTTTTTTTTGTAATCAAAGAAGTTGACCAGGTCCTTTCATGGCTGCCACAGTCATTTTAGTTGGTTAGGAGCCTTGCTAAGCAAAAAGTCTATTCAGCCACAATCTTAGTATTGATTCTTTGTGGGCCATCTTTTATAATTTGTTATGTTTTATTGCTTTGATTCAGATTTTTTGAATGTGTCACATGATTAAACAAAATGTCCTCTTTGTCCTTCTAATCTGCAGAAAATGCATCATGAGAACACAGTGCTGATAACAAATGCAAGACAGACCTGAGCTCATACTGCCTCCCTGTCCAGCAACAGTACGTTAATGGTTGGAACTGCCCGCCCCAACCTACATTACTGCCCTCGCAGACACAGCCTGATGATCACTGGTGCCATGGGAGCGGTGCGGGTCAACAGGTGAGGAATGGGATGGGAAATAAAACTATGTCAATGGCTGCAGCTTCGGAGTATTTTCTGTTCCTGTGTACTTAAGAAAGAATGCTCATTTCTTACTTTAGCATAAATAGTACCAATATTAGAAAGAAAAAAAACTGCACAGTTCACTAAGCAACTGATTTTTATAAAGGGTTTAAAAGTTCTTCATAACTTTAAAATCATTACCTGATGCGCAACAGAATAATAATCAGCTTTTATTTTGAAAAACATTTTGGTTTTTGGACAAAATTACGTGGCTTTATCTGATAGACCCTCAAATTGACCTCTAACAAGGGATCTGGACATCATCCCATTTATTAAGTATTTATTAACATTTTTCAACCATGTATGATCAATTATGTTGAATATCTTTACCAATTTCATAAGGATGACTTGCAAACTTTTGCTGAAAAATTCATTAAACAGATGACAGTTTGTTAGAAACTGATGAGCATTTATTAAGGGCTTGAATTTTCCTACAGAAAGAGTTTTAGTTTTAGTTTTATTTTTTTTCACAAACTTGCAATGCTACTGTTGCTCTAAATATAACTAATCAATACAGGATCATTTGTTAATACAAATACGGACACCAGTTTCTTTTAATAAAGTTGATAAAGTAGCACAGAAACATACCTTGCAGCTTAGCAACATCAGCTAAGTACAGCAGGTGTATCAAAGCTGCATTTAGAGACTTGTGTAAGTTGTTGTAGCCCAAATCTAGCAAACACAAAAGCAATAGAATAAACAGTGTTTGCCTGCTCTGAAGCTGCAGTTGTTAGCATGTCTGGCTAGCTCAGTAGCAATAATCTCTCAACCAGCTACAGACAGCATCATTAACAAACTAAATTAGTTTGGGTCTTTAAAAAGGCCATATTTATATCTATCACAGTCCCCGTGCAGATTTTCCTGCTGTGTTGAATCTGCCTCTGGATGCTATCGGAGCGTAAGCTAATGTTAGCAGCTTTGTCTTTGTCCTGGTGTTTATTGGATTTGAGGATGTCAAATCCATTGTTACCCAAAATAGCATTACATTGGTCAAACACATCAGTTTGTTCTCATCTAAAAAGTCTTTTCTATTGAAGTTTTGAAGTGAATACATACAATTTGGAAAAAAAGAAGAAGAAGAAGACAATCTCTGTAGTCAAAAATAGGTTTTTGCTAAAACATTTTTTTTTAAAAAAAACAGTCTGATCTTTTTTATTACCAAGTCAGTCAACACCAGTCAGTTGAAATCTAAAGTGAGGCTGGGACTTTTTTGCCAAATTTCTTTTAACACAATGTTATGTCTGTAGCCATTATCATTGTGTCTAAAACCCCTTTAAAACATTTGTTAGTTTAATAAAACTGTTTACTGTAACTGTTTTAGGTAAGTCATTCATCTAAAGTTGGCATAATTACCTACCCTACCACAGTCAATAAAAACATTTAAGTCAGCCAAAATTCTAAGGGCGTCAGTGCCAGGACTTCTCTTTTTGGTTCTTTAAGACGTTTTGCCTCTCGTCCAAGAAGCGTCTTCACTTCTAACTGATTGATGTGGATGAGCAAACACAGAAGAGCCAGCTCTTCTCATGTGCATCCCAAAGATAAGGGTCATTGAAGGACAACAGTGTTGACATTCTGGACAGAGAAAATGATTTGCTAGTGGAGTAAAGGAATTTATTAGTGTTAAACTACAACAGCCAACTCTAAACATAGGAGAGGATCTACAACACCAATTATCAGCCACTTATAATACAGTCTTGAGATACCTGCCAAGAAAGTTTCATCTTAATTGACACCTTGAGTCAACCTGGCAGTTTCACAACCATTCACACCTCAAGGCATGCAACTTTTGGGTCATTAATCGGCCATTAGTCATTGGTTTGGGGGATAATAGTGTACATCTGGAGCTCCTCATTAGTCTGTAACAACTGAAGAAGCATTTTGGATGAGAGGTGAAACATCTTCAAGTACCAATAAGATTCAAGTCTAGTTACCTTCTACGGAAGCTCCTAGGATAATCATGACCTAGATGACTGGGAAGATATACAGAAGCATCAACAAATGATAATGCTGCTTTTCTCTGTTTTTGTCCTAATTTCCTGTTCTTTGTTCTAACAGATACAGCATCGTTTCCACAGATGAAGATGCCCTGAAGATCTCTAGCCTGGGCCTCCACAATGGCCACAGTCCTCTGACTCAGCAGACTCTGTCAGGTGCCTGCATGCGAGGTGAGGAAGGAGGAGGAGACTGTCCAGGAAGTGATGAAGGAAGAGGGGCTTTGACTCTAAGAGTGACAAATGAACCTGTTGTCCATAACAGCTGCCGTGCTTCACCTTCATGTCGTCTGGGCCTGGATCTGAGCACCGGCCGTCTGCGCAGCCGCTTTGTGAAGAAGAACGGCCAGTGCAACGTGGTTTTTAATAACATGGAGGACAAGCCACGACGATACCTGGCCGACATTTTCACCACATGTGTGGACATACGCTGGCGCTACCTGCTGCTCATCTTCACCACCACCTTCCTTCTGTCCTGGCTTCTGTTTGGCCTGATCTTCTGGGGAGTGGGGTTCGCTCATGGAGACTTTGACATTCGCATCCCTGTAAAGGATGGAGATCCTCGGAGTACCACTGAGGGAGTAAAAGATGAATGGCGGCCATGTATTCTCCACATCCAGGGTTTCATTGGGGCATTCCTATTCTCCATAGAGACCCAGACCACCATTGGATATGGTTTCCGGTGTGTCACTGAAGAGTGTCCAGTTGCTGTGGTGACTGTGGTGGTGCAGTCCATCGTGGGTTGCATTATTGACTCCTTCATGATTGGCACCATCATGGCAAAGATGGTGCGACCCAAAAAGCGGGCGCAGACCTTGCTGTTCTCGCATAATGCTGTCATCGCTCTGCGAGACGGAAAGCTGTGCCTCATGTGGCGACTGGGAAACATGCGCAAGAGCCACATTGTTGAGGCCCATGTGCGTGCTCAGCTCATTAAGCCGCATGTGACGGCAGAGGGTGAGTACCTCCCCTTGGAGCAAACAGACATTGATGTCGGCTACGACGACGGGCTGGATCGTCTGTTTCTGGTGTCGCCACTGGTGGTGGTCCACGAGATCAACAAGACAAGCCCTCTGTATAACCTCAGCCGCACTGACTTGCAGAAGGAGGACTTTGAGATCGTGGTCATTCTTGAGGGGATGGTGGAGGCCACAGCTATGACCACTCAGGCCCGTAGCTCCTACTTGGCCAAGGAGATCCTTTGGGGTCACCGCTTTGAGCCTGTGGTGTTTGAGAAAGGTGACCGCTACCATGTGGATTATTCCCGCTTCCATAAGACCTACGAGGTGCCATCTACACCCCAGTGCAGTGCCAGGGAACTGAGCCAGATTACGGGTCGTAGTGGGCAGTCCTCATCCTCCAGCTCAAGTTACTCTCGGTCTCCATCATCGTTTCCTCTGAGGGCAGCCCGCCTGCTGGGCTCTCACTCCCCCAGCGCTTTTTGCTACGAGAACGAGGTAGCTTTGTGCTGTGGGGACGACGAGGATGAGGAGGATGTGAAAAAGGAGATGGGGAACCTGAACGTAAGAAGTGACAGGGAGGTAAAGATGAGAGATGAAATTCACTTGGGTTTCAAAGAGACATTCGTGGAGGAGCAGACTGTGGAGATGTTATGTGTTCTGGACACAGAGAATCAGATCAGTCTTGACAGACTACAGCCCACCCTACCTTTATACATCAGCAGAGAGTCAGGAGTTTAATCAATGGTAATGGCCACCCTTCCATTTGTTTCCTTTCTTTGTGTGCATCCAACCAAAGTATTGAACTTGTGTAAAAATAAAAGATGGAGAACACAACTTAAACTGTACATGTGGGGGGAAGAGAAGGATCTTTTTTTCGGCCATCAAAAAATCCACAAAGCTTTAGCTCATAACTTGCTTTGGTTTCAGATAACATACACTTTCAGCTGTAACATCAGCATCCATAAACTGCACAGCTCATCAACTTTAGACATGGTGACCAGGTAATCACGAGTTATCGTAAAAACCTAAATGCATTTTTGTTTGTTCAGTATGACCTGTGTACAACCTACAGTTAAGTCAAGCTTTTTGTTCTTGATTTCCATTCACGTTTTGTAAATATGATATGCTTTTGTTTGAACTTTTACATCATATACAGATAAATCTTATGAGATATACGTCTATTTATTTTAAAGGAAGCATAGCACAAATGCTTCAGACTTTTAACACTCTTGTTTTCTCTGTGTAAAAATAAATTATTTTCCGCATTTTGAACTTTTGTCTTCCTGCCTGAGTTCTGTTACTTTTCACATTTGATAAGTAAGCTTTTTTGTTTTTTCAAAATTCATCACAGTATATTCCTTAATCGTAACCGAGCACAAATGAAATGTATAATGCAGAACCATGAAGCAGAATTCAGTCCTGTGCAGATGAAGACCAAGCACTTTACTTTTATCAATAGATGCAAACACTTTGCAAATGTATGATGTTTTGTATGAACAAAGCACCTAATAAACAACAGTATATGCTGTTAAAACTTAAATTGTCTCTGCTGAGTCTCTGTTTCATATTTTCAGACTAGTTTAAGGTTTGCTGTCCATCCATGGTAACTCTCACCTTCATCCAATGAGGACTTCCCCATCAGCATTGGCTACATTGTGAGTTTAGTGCTGTGTTGTGCTAAAATGTTAAACATTGTATACTTTATATCAGATAAACATCAGCATATCAGCATTGTTATTGTGAGGATGTGACCATACTGGTGTTACCATCACTCTCAACAATGTTTGAGAACTTTAAAGGAATTGAAAACTTATCTTCTCATGAACAAACTGCTTTCATTGTTGCACAGGTGATTTTTCTGTATTCCTTTTTTCTTTGAACTCACTGAGGTTCATGTAGATAGACTTTGACTATACCTGAGTCCTAAGTAACAGTTTATATTTATAAAGCATTTTCGCACATGACTGTCTTAAGTACAACTGATTCCTCATTGATTCTGGGTGGATTTTTATTGAAACGAAGGTCCAATTGTGCAGTTTAAACTGGACGGAGCTCAGCTGGAAAAAGGTGATGTTATCTAAATCATGCTCCAGAAGCAGCCGACAGTCATGACAGTTTTAATGACACCTAGATTACTGCCAATCAAATCAGATCAAACCACAGATGTACAGTCCCAGTGAAGCAGAGTAACTTGAGGATGTTGGTTTTACTTTGATATTTTTGTTATTCAGATGTAAATATCTAATGTTATTTAGAATTACACAGTAAAACAAACAAAAAAACAAAAAAACATGAAAATGTGAAATAACCATCTTATTTATAGATTTTACATGAAATCATCTGTATTTTTTGTTTTTTAATGCTTAATGAAGGCTATGTATATGCATAAAACAATAAAATTACCTATAATCTATAAATAATAATGATAGACAAATAAATTATAATGATAAAACATGCATTTTGACAGACTACCAATACTTATTGGTGTTATACACTGGTGAAAACACAGTAATTCATCACCTTTGTTGTAAAAACTTCTGCGAATATACAAGATATTTGTCATCAAAAGTTACAGAGCCAACACTTCTTTTTCTGTTGTCACTAATTGTATCTAATTTTAGGGGAAAATAAAACATTCATAGTATTAAACTTGAATTTGACTATTTCATCTATTTAATCCAAAATATATATTTGTAAAATTAGACTAAATTAGCATAATTTTAACAATCATTTTCCTTTAAAAAGGAAAAATTATTTATGGTTACAAGTTTTTAATTTTATTAAGATCACTGTCTATTTTTTATATGGATGAATTATACGAATATTTTCATGCATTTCAAAAACTATGAAAAAAATCTGTAAATTAAAATAAAAAAAATCCTGTGACATAACAGATTTAGCTTTCTACGGTGTACTTAACATTTACGAAGGATGTTAAGAATGGCTGGAAAAACTAAATTTGTTTTCATCTTGGTGCTGTTTCTTAACTACCTGTTGTTGCCGTCAGAAGGTGGAAGGACGTTTTCAGGCACCTCATTTTTCTCTCAGACACAGTTATGGGACTCAAACGAAATACAAACAGCAGAGGGGAGCTAAATAATAAAAACACATTTTCCAATCCACAGTTAAATCAGTTCATTTTGAATCTGTTAGGCTTGGCTCAATTCAGCAGCTGTAGAGCTTCTGACTGGTTTCTGAAGTATTCGTGCCAAAATAATGGATAAAACATCTACCTGAAATGAAACTAAAATAATAAACTACATTTAGTAGTCATTTGGTTTTACATACATTTTAAAAATCAATGAAAGGGGAATTTAAAGTGGCATTACAAAATAGCCACCCCAGAACAAGTGGCTCCTCTCTCCTGAACAGTGCTCCACTCTCAATGAACTCTGTGGCCATATAATCATGACAACATCATGTGGATACATGGTTTGAACGCGGATGCTGTTGGGGCCTCAGGACGCCCAGACGGGTTAATGTGATCACGTTAACAAGGACAAACCCTTCAGCTCTTATCCAACACACTCATAAATCCCCTTTTGGAAGCACTTTCCTCCTTTAGTCACAAGCACTGCTCATTTCTATCTCTTTGGGTTTCTACTCAAAAGTCCCACCGAGGGAAGCAGACTGTAGGCTGAGAACAGGCAGACAGTGATGAAAGGCAAAAAAAGAAAAAAGGAAAAAGAAAACGCTTTGAGAGGAATAACAAAGACAAACAGAGAAATATTTAATGAGAGTTGAAAAAAAAATGTCAGTTGGGACTGAAATCCATCTGGATGTGCTGTTGGATGACTGAGTGTCTCTGGATGAAGTGGAGGCTCCACCATGTGGCTAAATAGTGACACCACAGTGAGAAACAGTATCATATCAAGTGCTAAATTATTCTGTCATATTGATCAATATAGTGTTTTCTATGCAGGTTTTTTAATGCGTGGTTACTCTCTGTACCAAAGTAGGCATCAGGACATTTGAAATGTGAGTAAACAGATGATTTATGGTTAAGGAGCAGAAGACATATATTTGTAATGGAGTATTTAGCACAAGGGTTTCTAATCTGTGGCTTAGAGGAACTCTAGGGAGTCACATGAAAACTATAGGGGGTCAAAAGATTATTGATGGAACAGGATCTTCAGTGTTTCCTTTCATTTCAGGTTTTCATTGTTCATTAAAAAATTTGCAACACAAAAAATATGAACTTTGAAAAATATATATACATCGTTTTAAGGCTGCTTTGAAGGGTTTATGGGGAAAAATCTATTTTTTGAGGAAGTTCACACACCCTGATGAGTTATTGAGCCTGTTGAAAAGGGTCACAGGAAGACCCTGATTTGTTTATTAGGGACACAAGCCATAAAATTGGGAAGCAGTTCATTTGTAACTACAAGGTACAGTTGTATGCAAGATTAGACCAAATACATTGAGAATAAATGAGTGGAACGTTTTCAGACTTATTTTGCCCAATTGCCAATGTCAACAACAATAAAAGCACATATTTTTTCCCCCATGTAAAGTACATGCAAAGAAAAATAGGTTTCCTTATATACTTGAATTAGCATATTATGCTTACTTTAATTATGGTGCTGGCCAATGAAAACTGGCTACTGTTAAAATACAATGAACAAACCTGTACACTTTTAACCTGACAGGTGCTGTCGGGGTGCCAGCAGTCATTGTGGCTGATACTGATATCAATGCCAGTCTCACTGTGCATCAAGAAATGTTACATATACATTTTTGAAGTGAAAAGAAAAAATACCTGCAACACACAAACATGTCAAAATTTTAAAAAATGTTAATGCAACACTTTTGTTTCACCATAACACATGAGATTCAAATCCACTTGTTGCAGTGAAGTGACTGTTCACCACCAAAAAAACATCCCTCACTAGCTTCATTGATAATTGCCGCTTTAATCGCCCCCCCCCCCCCAGCTGCTCCTCTTGCATCTTATGTACGATCCTTCACAAGACCAAACCAGGTGAAAACTACCGTCCTCTCTAATAAGAAATTTCCATCGTTGCAATGTGCCTGTCTCCCGACTGTCATCCCATCCTTCTGTCCGGCTGTTTTTCTGATGCCGGTTAATTATCCATATCGTCACATTCCCCTGTCATCAGCAACGGAGAGGGAGAGCAGCTGGACGACCTCTGTGACCTCTGTAAAGGCTGCTGATGGCCGACTGGGATCCTGCCTAATAAGGTGCCATGTGTTCGTCCTTGTGTAGGTTAAGTGTGTGAGTGTGTGCATGTGCTTTCATGTGTGTGACACCCTGTATATCCCGGTGCCCTCTCTGGCCTCACTGGCTGTTTGCGGCCTCGGGCTGTGCGACCGGAGCTGGTGACAGTGCGTGCGCTCAGCAGGGGACAGTATTTAGGCACTGGGAGCTGAGGCAGGAGGATCTTTGATTCCATAATGAGCTGTTGTCTGTTGTGGAGCTGTGAAGCAGCTCGCTGGGGGGGACAGAGGAGCATTGTGTGCAGCTCAGTAAAGCTCTGAGGAAGCCTGACCGAACCAGCGCAGAGAAAACATCTTCTGGACACGTCTGTCTGTCTGTCTGTCTGTCTGTCTGTCTGTCTGTCTGTCTGTCTCCTGCATCTTCTGTCTATCTACCATCTCCTTTCAGACTTTCTGTATGTATTTTGTCCGTTTCACATCTAAACTGGGCTTCTTCTTACTCATTTTCTGCTATTTCCTTAATTTTCTGCTGTAAAAAAAAAAAAGAAAAAAAAAAAAGG